TTGACTGAAGTGGCGAGAGTGGACATCCTTGCTTTGTTCCTGATTAGGAAGTAATCTTTACCATTAAGTATGATATGAGCTATGGGTTTTTCATAGATGGCCTTAATTATGTTGAAGAAGCTCCTTCTATTCCTAGTTTAAAGTTTTTATTATGAAAAGGTTTTGGATTTTGTCAAATGCTTTTTCTGTGTCAGTTGAGATGATTGCGTTGTTTTTGTCCTTTATTCAATTAATTTGGTATATTACATTGGTTGATTTTTCTTATGTTAAACCAACTTTGCATTCCTGGGATAACTCCTACTTGGTCATGGGATATGATCTTTTTGTTGCTGGATTCGGTTTGCTAGTATTTTGTTGAGGATTTTCACATCTATATTCATACGGGATATTGGTCTATAATTTTCTTGTGTTTCTTTTCTTTGTCTCATTTTGGTAACAGAGTAATACTGGGTGTCACTGGGTATCAGGGTGATACTGACCACACAGAATGAGTTGGGAAGTGATCCCTTCTTTTCTATTTTTTGGAAGAGTTTGTGTAAGATTAGTGTTAATTCTTTAAATGTTGATAACTTTCATCCGTGAAGCCATCTGGTCCCATGTTATTTTTGGGGGGGGTGAAGTTTTTATTATTATTTTTATTACTAATTCAATCTCTTTTCCTGTTACAAGTCTAGCTAGATATTCTATTTCTCAGATAATTTTTGAAAATAGGTAGGTTAAAAGTCAATTTATCAAATAAAATAAAGAGCTGTTCTTTCCCCTGGAAATTACTGCTGTGACAGTGTTGAATTTCCAATGTGGTTTTGAGGGGTAAAATCCATGGAATGCGACCCCTCCCTGCTCTTCTGGGCCTGCGTCTGCCTTGCACTTGGGGTTTCTGCAATAGAGACCCATCCCTTCAGCTAGTCTGAGGTCTGGCCTGTGGAGAGGCAGGGGAAGTTGAGGGAAAACCCACAGGTTGTACAGTCAGAATAACAAGTTCAAAGACCGTTCAGGCATCTACCTGCCACATGACCTCGGTCAAGTTCTTCGGCCTCTCTAAGCCAATTTTCTCACCTGTAACAGAGGTAGTGTGATAACGGGCCCTACCCCACAGGGTTGGGGGACAGGCTTGGATATGCACATGGGCTTTGCTAAGCCTCCTTTCTGTCCCCCTGTCCCCACTCCCTTCTTGCCCTCCCAAGTTTCCAGTGAAGAAGAAGGAGGAGACCACACTCTCAGTGTAGGAGGAGGTAAGTGAGGAGGCTGGTTTCAGAACCTCCAGCAAACAAAGCCCCAGTGTTCCAAGGGGAGCGCCCCTGTGCCTCCTCCTTACTGCGGGCGGGGGTAGGAGGAGTGGGGTGGGGCTGAAGCATTTTCCCAGCCCCTGCTCAATCACTTCTCCCACCCATGGGACCTGCTCTCTGGAATGGAAGAAATGACCCATGGGAAAAGTGAGGGCATTTCAGGTGAATGGCTGGGCCCAACCGGACCTATGTTTTTGAGAGTATTTGCATTACAAAGCTTCTTGCAAAACCTGGGAGGGCTACCTATTAACCTTTAGGAGCCCTGTGCATATCCCCAGCTCTAATCTCCACCCCCCATACACACCCAGTGTGCCCCCTCCTTTAGGTAATGGAAGGATGGAGGAGATGGGATGTTTATTCAGTAACTCCCTTCTTTCATTGCTTGAGGGGTGTCCTTGGAGGATTAAACTCCTGGCACTCCTGAGATGTGTCTGTAAAGAGCTGAACAAGCCCCAGGGGCATAAGAGACAGAAAAAAATGGGAGCCAGAGCTGGCTGAGCAAGGAAGTAGGCACTCGCCAGAATGACCCACTGGGCTGCAGGGAACTTGGCAGTGAGGGAATATTGGGTGAGACATCCACAGTGCCCGAATAAAAGTGCTTGTTCTTAGATAGCCCAAGGTTGAGGTGATGTGGAAACACCCAGCAGGTAGGCAGGAGACAGACCTGGAGTCCACCCAGCCTCATGGTGGGCAGGACTGGGTGTGAGCATGGACAGGGGTCAAAGGAGGGAGACGAGTGGACAGCTCAGCAACCGAGCTGAGATGCGCCCCATGTCTAGGGCGCAGGGATGGAGGCCCAGTCAGTCAGCAGGGCAGAGGCCCAGCTGCAACAGAGAACGGAACTGCAGAGACAGGGAATGCAGAAAGCCCGCACAAGCTGGCAGAGGACGTGGGGACTGAGCGGACTCGGTAAAGCCAGGAGGATGGAAGCGGGAAGACGGCGGCAGGGGGGCTTGGCCGTGGGCACAGTGCTCTGGCCCAGTTGTCGCAGACTACTGTGAGATGGCAGTGATCTTACTTCTCATCTTTTACTATGTACTCATCAAGTACTTGAAGGCCTGGCACAGAGCTCAACAATTAGTAAGTGCTCAATGAATTTTTTTCAGTTATAATGGAAAATTGGGCATGTTTAGGAAGAAAACAAGAATCTTGTTATGCGGAGAAGGTGGAGATCTGGGCTCTGAGGAGCCCTCACCCGATCATACGTGTGACCTCTCACGCTTGGGATGTGCCAGAAATCTGATGGCTTGACTGACACTTTCTGAAACTTCCTGGTGGTTCTGGAGCATTCATTTTCATTAAATAATGGCATTATTTTTGCTGACATCGGTCTGGGTTTGCCTGTCTCTTAGTTATCTTATTTTATTAAAAATATTTTTTATTCCTCACCCAAGGACATTTTTTTCATTGCCTTAAGAGACAGACAAACAGAGAGAGGAAAAGAGAGGAAGAGACATTGATGTGAGAGAGAAGCATCAATTGTTGTGTCTCATATGTGCCTGGACCCGGTACTGCACGTGCCTGGACTGGGGACCAAACCCGCAACCTAGGCATGTATCTAGGAATTGAATCTGCAACCAGGAATCGTATCTGCAACCTCTCAGTTCCCAGATAAGGCTCCAATCAACTGAGCCACCTGGCCAGGGCTGTCTCTTAGTTATCTTAGTTTCTGCACCAAGCACAGGAAACCCAGCCACCTGGGTTTAATAATTAGAGCCCGTAGATATTCCTTCTCGCTTCTGGAACACGCCCTTCCCTCTGCAAACTTCTCTTTGATATTTTTGGACATCAGCACCAAGCTCATCTGCGTGTTTCCACCAGTCAATGTGCATATCCTGTGATCTGAGAGATTCACGCCCCACGAGGCATCGGGTTGGTCTTGGACTTCCTTGCCCTTCTTCCATGTCAAGACTGTTTCTGCATGTTATCCAGCACTTCCCTCTCACTCGCAATGTCTCTTTCCCTGATTTCAGTTACCCATGGTGGGTAACCATGGTCTGCAAATATTAAATGGAAAATTCCAGAAATAAACAATGCATCACTTTTCAGGTGCTGGCCATTCTAAGTGCTGTGATAAAATCTCGCTCCATCCCGCTCTGTCCCTCTGAGGAAGTGAATCATCCCCTTTGCCCTCTGTCTCCACACTGCAGGTGCTCTCTGCTCCCCAGTCACTCCGCCACCGTCCAGGTGACCAGAGTGACTGTCCTGGGCTCCCAGTGCTCACGGTCAAGTTGCCCTTGTTTCACTCAGTGCTGGCCCCAAAGCCCTTCACGTAAGTTTTATTGCAGTATGTTGTTGTGATTGTTTATTTTTATTGTTAGTTGTTGGTCATCACTTACAGTGCCTAATTTATAAATTAACTTTAGCATAGGTATGCATGGATAGGAGAAAACATGGTATATGTAGGATTCTGTACTGTCTGTGGTTTCAGGCATCCACTGGGGGTCTTGGATGTATCCCCGTGGATAAGGGGGCACTAATTTATCTCCCTAGAACTTATAGATCTGGGAAAGTTCTCCAAAGTACATTGCTAACAGGAAGAATGTTGCAGAACGAGACATTTGTTTAAAGCAAACATTCTGCCCAAGAGGTTTTGATTTGATTACCAGTAGGATTATGTGTGTACTTATGCTCACTTGAGAAGTTAAAATGTAAGACAATGTGCTTCAGAAGACGCAGACCCTGGTGCTCAGGGGCAGCCCGAGACTGAAGTTTGAAACAAGCCCCCGGTGCTGCCGAGGCCGCAGCTCTGTCCAGTGGGACCTCCTGCAGTGACGGGATGCCCTGTGTCGGCGCTGCCCGAGCACCAGCCACTAGACCCCCGTTGCTACTGGGCACTGAAAATGGGGCTAGTGCAATTGGAGAACTGAATTTTCAAGTTTACATGCTTTTAATTCCATTGAAATAGCTGCACGTGGACTCCTGGCCACTGTAAGAGACAGTGTGGTTCTCAGCAGTCAACTTTTCAAGGGCTGAGACTGAGTCTTATTTATCTGTGTGTCCTCGTCAGGATAACAACAACAATACTTACAATAATAACAACAATTCCTTATGTTACATGTGTATTGTGATTTAGGGACTCTCTTCATGGCCAGTATGTTAGTGAGGCCTCCTGGTGCAGCCAGGGTTTGCTGAGAGCTTGCTCTGTGCCAGGCACTGTCCCGCCTGTGTCCCAGGTATTAACTCACCTGTGCCCTATGGACACGGATGAAGACACTGAGACCCAGACGTGTCAGTTCCCTGCCTAAGTCACTCCACTAGAAAATAACAGAGCCGGGCTTCAGGCCCAGGATCTAGACTGGCTCACATTTAACCTGATGCTTTCATGCCTCAGAATGTACCTACCATTACCTAGGTTTTCCCATTTAAACCTAGCTGGGTTTGTCTGACTCCCAGACTAGAAGTCTTGTCATCCTGGAAGACATTTAGGGGCCTGGTGCCACTCACCTTATGCACAAAGACCAGCCTAGACCTAAAGGAGCTGACATTGAGGCAGGAATCCCAGCCTTATCTACGAAGGAAGGGTGCAAGGGAGGACAGCTGTTGCATGTGGACCCTAACCATTCCTATAGCTGCTCTGCATTTGTTGTGCTTAGGGAGACAGAACTACATCTCCCAGGAAGCAGTTCGGTCTCTCACCACCCGTCCCTGGCTCCGCCTCGGGACAGGCTGGTATTTAAGAGCCGAATGGCCAGGCCCCGCGCAGAGCGCGGAGGCGGCGTGGACGCGCAGTTTGCAGGTAGAGCCGGCAGGACTCGGCCACCACAGCTGGCAGACGCTGCTCTGCACTCCGGCATCCCTACAGGCTTCCTGTGCCTCCGGGGCACCCACCCTATGCTCCCTGCATCTCTAGACCTGCTAACCCGAGGAGGAGAGCAGATTTGCCCTGGGCTCTTTCCTGCGCTTGGCAGAGGGGTTCCGGCGGGAATCGGGGCTCCTGCTAGCTTTGCGCAGCCGAGGGAGGCTAGAAGCTGCGTTCGGGATGGTGGCTCTCCCAGAGCGAGGAGGCGGGATACCCTCGCCGAGGTCCGCGGAGCGCCCTACACCCGCGCAAATCGTGCGCTTGTCCCGTGCGGGCCCGGGAAGGCGGCCTTTGGGAAACCCAGCCGGTGAGCTCCCCACGATCTCCGCGGGTCTTGAGCGCAGAGGCGGACTGCCAGCTCTTGGACCCTGGATGGAAAGTGGTAATGAGGTGGGGCTGCTCCGGACCCCTAATGTGGATTACTTGGTGCGTATCAGCCGGGCTAGGAAGACTCGCGATCTCTCCACCCGTGGATTGATTCATTCTACCTAGCAGTCGGGTCGCCTACCTGGAGGTAAGTTTTCCTGCAATTCGGAGGAGCGGTTTGATTTGACTCCCTGCCCCCAACACCCCGCGTCGCTTTCTGAAGGTCTCAAGGTTCTGTGTTGAATTTTTTTTCTTGTAATTGACATCTCGGAGGACATTTTAGCCGTCCCTCTGTCTCCAGACTGAGCCTGTCGCCCGGGTCGCGGCGGTCAGCGCCCATGCCGGGTGTTCTCGGTCTGCGCCCCGCGGCGCCCAGCTACGCCCTGCGGCTTGGCGGCCTTGCGGGACCGAGCCCAGTCTGGAGAAATGCTCTGCGTCTGCGGCGCACTGCGCAGCCCTTGAACTTACCTTTTCGCCTGGTTGCCCTCTGGGGCCCGTTACTTAGGGAGCGGAGCTGCCTCGGTAAGCTCCTGGCGTCGGGCCCCTGGAGACTCAGAACGGGACTGGGGCGCAGTGCTTGGAGAAGGCAACGGGTCCGAGCCCCTCTCCCTGTTGGGCATGGAGGACAGATGTGTTTCTGGGTGTCCCTGGTAGGCTTTACTGCAAGGATTGGATCACCCGTCGCGCAGACACTGGGATGGCGTAGACAGGTCTCTGAATAGGTGGAAGGTGGCAAGAATTCTGTCCACTGCGTCCCCTGCGCCCTCCTCCCCTCCCCACCCTCCGGCCAACAGCTCCTGTACCCATGGACCCTGCTTTCCTCGTCCTTTGGTGTCCGCGCTGTTTTGGGCAGCATGATGACTGTCACGGAGTAGGCGCGGAATAGATAGATGTTCCTTGAATAAATGACTGAGCCAGTACGCGGTGATGTGCAGATAAACCAGGGTGCTCCTTTTTCTTCTCTCTCTCTGGCGCTTGTCCTCACTCCCTGCAGGTGGTTTCCTGGAGATTCATTCCCAGATGTGGGATTCTCTCCCCTTCCCCCAGCCCTGCCGGCAGCCTGTCTGCCGGGATCCATTTCCCGGCCCAGAGCCCCTCATGCACAGAAAACTTCTGGGAGCTGTCAGGGGGTCTCCCTGATGTTTGCTCAGGGTGGTACTGCCCAGTGAGCACCTGCTTGGGGAGGAGGGCCAGGCACCACAGGAAAGAAGAAGGTGGTATGTGTTGGTACTGTTCCCTCCCCCAGGAGCTGCGCATCTGCCACACCGGGTCCCTAGAAGTGCCCAGCTGGTGCAGCAACCATCCTTGTGGTGGTCCCCACCATCCCATGCCCCCCACCCCCGCAGACCCTGGGGGTGGCTGTTGAAACTGTCCTGCTGATGACCCGCTGCTCCGCTTGTGCACTGTTTGACTTTGAAAGTAATTCGAGCTCTTTCTCTCTTTCATAGAATACTACAAAAAAAGTGCAAAAGGCAGGAAAACCCACCCATTTCCCACAGTAATGCTGTCAGGTGGACATACTTCTTCTCTACTGAGGCCCTGCAATACATACAGTGTTGCTTCCTGCTTTCCCCTCACGAATTCATTTGGACGGTCCCCCATGTGATGACTGTATTCCGCCCCAGGCATTGAATCATACTGTGCTTGACAATTCCCCATTGTTGGACACTAAGGTGTTTCCAAATTCTTACCCTTCGTGCATTGGTGAGCATCTTTTGTACCTAAGGATTTGTCCACATTTTGGATCATTTCCTTTGGAGAATGTCCAGAAATCACTGTCTTTGCTTTAAGCCACAGTCATGTCCAAAGTCAAAGGAATGTCACTCCTGGTGGACATTTCCCAGGTGGACTGTCCTGAGGGGAGTACCACTTACCCATCAGGTAACCCACGTCTTCGAGCCAGAATACTGTGGCTTTTTTGTTTTGTTTTTTGTTTTTTCCTGCGTCAAAGAGCCAATCAGCATTGGGATGAGACTGGTAAAATCTTCCTTTGGGACCACGATGTAAATTATGTTGGTGACACTACAGGTTAAAATAGAGCAGACAGCTGGATGAAAAATGTTGTCACTTTATAAAAAATTAACTTTTGACTTTGATATAAATCTAATTTGACAGGAAAGTTGCATGAATAGGCATGGATTTCCCCCACACCCTGTACCCAGCTTCCTTAAATGTTAACACCCTGCATACCCACAGCCCGGCACCCAGCCCCGGGCGGGGGGGGGGGGGGTCAACACCGACCGTGAGTCAGTCTCCAGGTCTTACTCCGAGTTCTCCTAGGGTCCCGCTAATGTTCACATTTTGTGATTTGGGATACTGAGTCGCAGAAAATGCTGTTTTGTAAAAAGGGGAGAATTGGGAGGGTTCAGCAGACTGTTTTTTTTTTTTAACCTTGTTATTGAGCATGAGTGACAGAGAAAGCTGCACATACTTAAATGCATACAACTTGAGTTTGATGGTAGGTGCACCCCGAGAAACCCTGCAATCTGTGCCATGAACATACTCATTGCCTCCAAAAGTTTCCTCCTGCCCACTTTATTATTATTTGTGTGTGTGATAAGAACACTTAATAAGACATCTGCCCCCTTAGTAAATGTCTAAGTATATAGTACAGTCTTGTTGACTGCAGGTGCTGAGCTGCACAGGAGAGTCTAGGATTTATTCTGGGGAAGGTTTGCAGCGGAGAAGTCCCCCTCCTTCCCCTTCCCCGGGAAAACTCACCCCTCCTCCCTATTATGGCCAGCAGAGCAGATGAGACCCTCCAGCGCCCAGAGGGCAGAGGGGCGGAGCCCTGACGTGAGGGGGACAAGCTTCTCTGTGTGCACCCCTCCTTCCTTCTCACCAAACCTCCGCTGGGAACGAGTCGTTTAGTAAAAACTGGGCTGCACCCGATCTGCCCTGACACGTCTTCCGTGGGGTGGGGGGTGGATGACATCTGGTGTGCGTGAGAGCAGCGAGCCGCCAAGCCCCGAGTCCGCCGTTGACAAGCCTGCGTGCCGGGCCTGTGCGGGTGACTCACGCTGCCGAGCAGCAGGTGTGTCGGGAGCTCCGCTGCAGACCCGGCCAAGAGCATTTCCTGGTTATCTGGGCAGATTTAAAGGAACACGGGTGTCTGCTTTCACCTCAGAATGCATTTAGGCTATTACCCAGCAGGCTTGGGCCAGGAAGGGGTCCCCCTTCTTTTTTGGGGACTTATTTCACCAGAGAGGGGTGAGGACAGCCAGCCTAGGGGACTCTGGGAAGCTACTGATGGGGATGGAGTCTGGCCGGGCCTGGTGTATTTGCATGAGAGCTTGTGAGAAATCAGGGAACCCAGGAAAGAGCCCCTTTCCTGCCCACCGCCTCCCCCCCCCCCGCCCCACTCCACACCAGAGACCCCATTAGTCCAACCTTCCCCACAACACACCCGTGGATGGGGGCTGTCTGCCACCAGTACTTGTCTGCGCCAGCTCCGATGGTCGCCTGCGCAGTGCAGGTGTTGTTTGGGATAAGGAAGTTTTGAGGTTACTGAAATCTCAATGAAACAGACTTTTGCTGTCCATGTAGACTTTCTCTGTTACTGTTGGGGTCTGGTCGCCTAGGCCTGATCTTTCTCTTCCTCTTTGAGACACTCCGTTCTTCCTGTTGTAGCTTGTAAACTGAAGCACAGTCCCCCTCTCCCTCGGACCCTGTCCCTGTCCCCGTCCCCACCCCCGCACTGGCACAGAAGGGCTCTGTCACCAGCCGCCTCCGGTGAGGATCATAACAGGAAGTCTCGGTGCCTTGGTGGGAGAGGGGCTGGGGATGTTGTGACTGAAGCCTTCTGGAGCAGCCCTCTGTCTGCGCCTGCCCTGTCCCTCTCCCAGCCGGCCGCGTCTTCTCAGGAGCGGCTGCTCTGCCCAGACCGCAGGAGCCCATTCAGGGGCTCCACCCGATCCCCTGGCCTTCGGGCTGTCGTTCGCCTGAGAATGAACTGGTTGGAGAACTTGGTAAAACTGGGATTCTTAGCAGCCATCCCCACCCCCCCCCCCGCCTCATTTCTGAGGTTCTGTTTTGTTGTGTGTCGGGGTGGGGAGTGCTCAGAGATCTACATTTTGAACAAACCACCAAGGCCACTCCGGTGCAGATGGACACTTTAAGAAAGGAGGAATCGACTGGGTTCTTGGCCGGCTAAAGCCCAAATTGAATCTTTTCCTTCTGAAGCTTGCCCAGCTACGAAGCTCTTTTTCTCCTCTTTCAGGAAGCCTTCCTGGCTTGCCTCCACCTGGTCTGTGTCCCCACATGCACTTATTTGGTTTGTTGGTGAAGGTTTTGATGTAGAAGTCTTGAAATCAGGTGCCCTTTGTACTTGGTTAAGACAGAAATGGCTGCATTTCTGGGCTTGAGGAATAAATTATATCTGCAATCTCTCCCCTTGGGGATGGGGGTTGTGAGTTCCCCAAGAGCTTAGAAAGTGCGCTTTCATAGATAACTTCCTGGTTATGTATTTTCGTGCGCCCATGGAGACCACTGCTGCTGCTGGCTCACAATGGTCATTGTAGGCCATGTCCACTGTCACCACGGGGCTGGTCTGGGGCCTCCACACCAGGTTCGTACCCCCCCTTCACATGGCAGATGCACTCAGCTCACCATACATGAGGGCAAGAACAGTCCTGGATGAATTTCCTCCCTTGAACTGTGCTGTTGGCTAAGGACTCTCTGTCCCAGAGCGCCTGGGTTCCCTTGCTTTACAGACTAGCTTTGTGCCCGGAAAAATGTCTGTACCAAGCGGTCTTGGTCCCGTGCTACTGGGAAGGCCTGGAGGAAGCGTGCAACCCAGAGGAATGCTGAAGCGGTGAGTTTCTGTCAGACGATTCTTTTAGTGATGTGAATCATCCCGTCCTCCCGTAGCTGGTCTGTTGGTACAGGTTCTTACACAGACGTCTGAAACCAGGTGCCTTTTGTCCTCGGCTAAGACGGAAGTGGCTGCATTTGGGTGAATGATAAAGGGACAGCGGTTCTGGGTCTCCAGGAAGAAATCAGACCTTTGGTCTCTCCCTTTGGGTCTGAGGCTGGTGGAGGTTTGGAAATGCCCCAGTAGGGCCTCATTTTAATGGTTTCAGACCCCAGTCCTTTGCCTGAAACATGGGCCCTTGACCTCGTGTGACTGTAGTGCTTTCCTTCCCTCCC